ACATATATAGAATTACTGCACAGAGTCCTAATGAACATCATTTTACTTATTAAATATAAATCTAATATCAATTCTAGGATATGAACTAGAATAACTAAAATAAAATCTAATATTGATTTAAAAGAAGTATTGGTATACATATAAAATAATGGCCATGTTTAAATGTAATCATCGAATATTCTATTTTGGGACTATTTATTTTTTAGTTAAAATTATACCATTTTGTAGAGCAAATCACGAGGAAGTTTTTCTATAATAATCCCATTTTTGTCATAATGGATGTTAATAGAAAAATCAACATGAAACTTGAAGTAAATATTGTGAAAATACTCATATAATCGTGAATTTTTCTCTATTATCTTATACATATATATATATATATGTCTGATGACTCTTAGCAAGAACAATTTAAAATTGATAAATTTATACCATTTTGTAGAGCACATTTAGACGCATCTATTGGCACTATTCAATAAACTTCGAAGCAAAATTTTGAAAACGAAAAACGATATGTTTTGATAATGGACCGAAGTGTGATATAAGGTAGTTTAATGAATATTAGGGGCATTCAAAAAACTATTTCTTGCCAGTCTCTAATTAGACCTTTTGGCAAAAGAAAATAGGCGGAAATGTGCGTCAAAAAATGGTCTTTCAGAATATATAACTTCGATTAAATTCTGTAGGGTGGCAGATTTTGACTCTTATGCGGCGGGGTCCTTTGTATCGAATGTATGTGCTGGTCTTGTTGGTGAATCAGGTTTGTTGCTGGTTCCAATTATGGAGATCATTATGCCATTTTTGAACAAGGTACAAGAAATAAAGGTGTAGGAATTGCTGGAAAAAATATTGCAAATCCATCTGGAGTTCGTTTTGCTGCTGCAAATATGCTCAAATATTTAGGGTAAACAATAAAATATTTTTATTTAATATAATAAAGAAAATCTTTTTAGATTGGAACAACTTTGTTCAACTATAAAAAAAAGTTGTTATAAATACAATTCAAGAACATAAAATAAAAACTCCAGATATTGGTGATACATCAACAACAACACAATTTGTTGAATGTGTTTTAAATGAAATAGTTAAAATGACACCAACAATTGGTTTCAGTTATGAAATGCAGAAACCTAATCTTGGCCTTAGATATAAAACTGTTGATTAAAAACCTTTATTTATACTTTACATTATTTTTGCTGCTTTTGTCTGTCGTAGTATTATATCATCAATATATACATATTTTTTCCTTCAAATAACTTTTATCAAATATTTCTCTTTACCATTTTTTTAATAGAAATTAATCGAATGAGAGAAAAGACAATCTTATTGAATTTCAAAGACCGCAACAACTACTTCGATCCAAAGAAATTAATGAACAAGGTCAAAATCAGAGTGCACAATTTCAGAGAATTTCGACAGCCAATAGAATCTGCCTTACTTCTGTTGATTTGAGCTCATTGTGAATTGGGTATCTATTACTGTAGTTTGTTGAACTTCACTGTTTTTTAATGGCCTTTGATAGAGTTAGATCAATTGAGACGAGTTTCCGTATACTCTGATAAACTCATTCTAGAATTGAGAATTTGCTTTTTTCCTCGTAAATGAAGTTCTTCCTTTATTCGATATCATAACGGTTTTTATAGATCTCTTTTTCTTTAATTCTTTATTCTCTGATTAGACAAAAGAAGAACTTAATTCGATAATTTAATCGATCTATAATAATAATAATAATAATGAAAAATTTTTCAAGATAAATCAACATAAAATAAACACTTATCTAAATAGAATTAAATCATTATTTCTAAAATGAATTATTTATATGAAAAGTGAAACTTTTCTCAACTGATAATGACCGGACTCAAGAAAAACCTTCATAATGAAGTTCTTTTATGGTATAGAACATTTTATTGACGAAAATCAACTTTGAACAATATGTGAAATGATTTAGAAATGGACTTCAATGTATTTTGCGGTAAAAGGTGACATGAATGGCATTCATCGAAAATTGCTGAAAAGGATCCAGACAATAAAATCTTTCTATTATTGTTCAGTCTTTCAGAAATTCTCATCTGAACAAATGATTAAATTGAAACAATTTGATTTTGATTCATTTTGAATAGAATTTCAATAAGATTTTTTTCTCAAATAAGTATCCAATCAAAAAATAGTTCGTATATTTCTTTTTATTATGATTTCATGGATAAAATCCGACATCCATATGTCTCTCTCATTGTTCACATTGAACAGTTCAAGTAAAAATGTCATATTTAACAATGAAATATTGATATGAACAAATCTCATGCAAAGTTGACAAACTAAAGAAAAAGATCACTATTATTTTTATCCGTTCGGTGTGAAATGTCATCATCTTCTATTGAACAAGTTATACGAATGTTAGGATTATTAACACTTTCAGGACCGGCTTATTTTGAGCAATGACAATAAGAAAAAAGAAGATGAATGTAAGTTCATTCATATAATCATATAGATAATGAAGAAAAATCATTGTGATTGCTTCTAAAAAAGATGTAGATCATAACATGAACGTGTAAAAAACGCAGCCCATAGGCAGCGGAATGTAGAGGCTAGATGAGGCTGAAGTCTCATCTGAATTTGACGCATGTAGGCTTAGCCACACCTAAATTATGAATTTGATACTTATTCGCATGAAGGTTTAGCTTCATTCTACCAGAAGAATATTATTTCAGAGCAAAGATTCAAATTTCTAATATGTTTATTCATATATTGTGATTATAAGCGACGAAACGAGTAGACTTGAAAAACTTGAGCCTCATCTGAATTATGCCCATAACCAATGCAACGTATAGACTTAAAAGACTTGACCCTCACATGTTTTTGAAACACTTCGTCGTTCTGAAGCAGTCGCAACGTTTATTTCGAAGAGACGCGAAAAAAATTCGAATTCCTACTCGTCAGATCACGTGAAATTTCACTGACGTTTTAAACGTTACCGGTCCCGAAAAGGTTAATGAACTATAAATATCCAAGAAAGAGTTCATGCCGATAGCTTGTCTCTGGAGATTTATCGAGTTTTTCATATTTTTACTTGAAATTTTGTCCATATAATGAGCTACACAAGACTAGTTGGCATAAAAAGTGTCAATGTTTTTTTACCAAATCTCTCATCGAGATACGATGCTTTCAAAGAATACATCCTAATTGATGTTGCAGAACAAATGAAACTCAGTATTTTATCAATATCATCGTCAATAATTATAAGTTCAATTCGAAATTTTTATTAAAAGACTCTTTGTTCAATTCTCTACAAAACCATATAAAATATTACAGTATAAAAACTAACAGCCAAACATCCTGTGCTGACGAATGCACAGTACCCAAATAATGGATTTTATAACAGCATTTGCTTTTAACAGCTAGTCCTATTTCCTCTCAGACTAGATATACGTCTAGTCACATTCGTCTCATTTTTCCTATGTTTTTATGTATACTCTTTCTCTTCATTTTTAGTCACAGTTGTCTAGGAAAAAATGCAACGATGCAGACATGACGAAATTTCATACAGAATGCAGTGAAATTACTGAAATTCATATTCTCACCTGAACTAGGCTTGACAAACAAACCATTTGTTTTCGAAAACAATGACAAAATGTGAACACAAAAAGTTAGTATAACACATAGATACAGAAGTTTTTCAAAGTAACATGTTTTTTTTTTACTAAAGTCTTCGAAATGTTTGTATAGGAAAATATCTGATTGCACACCAATTGAAGTTTGAAAATGAAATATGATTTAATATTCAGAAAGATCTCTTCAAGAGGTTCTAAATGGACAATTATGTTTGTTTGTATGTTGGACATTCAACAGCTAAGACGATGAAAAATGACGAAATCATATTGTGAAATATGTTAATATGCGTATCTTTAGTTCGGAAAGTTTGACTGTTGATTTTTTACACTGAAATGTTTCCTATGCATTTGTACGGAATTGAACGAGGAATCTTTTGACTAAAAAACTCAAGTCGAAGTCATGGACATTGACGATGATATTGATAAAATATTTAGAGGTTCATTTGTTCTGAGAAATACATTAGCATGTATCCTTTGAAAGCTTTGTATCTCGGTGAGAGACTTTGTTTAAAATACCCTGAAAACTTTCTATACTAGCAAATCCATTTGAGGTCTTTATATGGACAAAATTTTAAGCTCAAATTTGAAAATATGAGTTAATCCTTGTGAATTTCGTTTTCACTCACTGTGTTATCAATTTTCATAAGAACATCGGTCACGAGTAAAATATTGTGACAGTTATTGACTGAATTTTCAAATTAAAATATAAACTTAGTTTTACAAAGGAATTCAATTATTCTCTCTTTGTTTATCATGTATTTTCTTTTTTTATGTTTGTAAGAATACTAAATAAATATCAATAAAGATGAACAAAAACAAAGTCTGGAATCCTTATCATAAACAAAAAATGTTTCCTCGAAAGTAGATAGAAAAATTTGATTGTCCTCTAAAGAAAAACCTTGAATGCTTACTTGGCCTTTTTCTTTTATATTTTTATTACTTTTAAAGTTATAACAGGAAATAATAAAAAAAATTCTTCCATTAACAGATGATGGAACTATTCATTTATTATTTTTTTCAAGAAATAAAAATTTTAATACTCTGAAATTTACATCTATGATATACTCACTTTTACTTGTTACATTGTCTTCTATTAAACCATCAATAAATTATTATGAATATTTCTTCAATTGAAAATTTCATTGTAATTATATAATCTCTGCAAAACTGCATAGAACACACAAAGGATTGGAACATAGATAATTAACCATTGGACGTAATTATAGACGTTAATAATTTGCATTTTCAGATCTAATATGTCAACATTAGTGAACCATAATGTCTTCTTTTTTTAACCATAGCTGTCTGGCTACCTAGAATAGTACAATCAATCTGATGGAAATCGTCTGCACAGCTAGAATATTCAAAATAAGGAAATCAGAATTCCATAACTAGATTTTAAGTGTGATAACAATGATATAAAGAAATATTTTGAAATTAATAATTTTGAAATGTAACGTTCATTTACATCCCATGGCGTCATTGATTCCACCATGTCTCTAATATTTTCATTTCATATAATTAACTGAGACTCAGTTTCATCGTCAAAAACAAACGGGGAAGTGCTATTCAAACTTACAAAAAAAAAGAAATAAAAAGTAATTTCAAATCAGATGGATTTATTATTTTCTCTTTCAACTTAGTTTCACATATGAATTGTGTTCAATAAAACGGGATACAATCTTGTCAAGTTGTTATTTCATTTTAATTGCCTGTAATCAAAATTGAATATTAGAAAAACAATTCTCTCTATCAAAGTTTTTTTTCTTGCTTTAAATGGCACTATTTCATTTGAAAATGACAACAAATATTAGTACATATAAATATACTAAAATAAGACTAGTAATAAGAATAAATATGATAATGATTATTATTAATTTCAAAATATTCACCACGATTAACTATCATACTTTATCAAACAAGTTGATGTCGTCTTAAAATGCTTTTTCTCATTTTACTGATAATCAGAACGTTCTAAAAAAATAATCATTTGATCTTTATGTAGAAACTACTAATGTAACAGATGACTCTTAAAAATGGTCACACTTTGCATTTCATATTTTAATCTCTAAATACGTTTTATTTTAAAACAATTGTTAGTATGGCACCAGGAGAAATCAAAATGTGGAACTCATAGGTACTGACTGTTATAACTTAAGACTTTATTGCTAGAGTGTTAAAATAATTTATTTAAAAAATAATACCAAATGAATGAATAAATCAAAATTATAACTTTTTTTATAACTGATATGTGCGCTCTAAAATTTTGTCATTTCGAGAATTCTTGTATTTAGAATTACTATTCTAACATTGTTGTACTGAAAACACTTATTTCTATTGTCAGATATATCTTCAATACATAGCTTCTTTTCTCCGAATGATAATATATACGATCCATGCCATAGGAAGCGATAAATATTATTTTATTCTTCATTTCGTTGGTTCAACCACTATATTAGCCTGCTATACATATTGATTTATTCGTTCAATAAACTTTCGAGCACACCATCCTTTCTTTTAATGAACTTTGACATCTAGTGTTGAGTTTTGTCTAAAC